GTGGACAAGCGGATCAGCCATTTTGAACTTTTTAAACAACATATTCTGAAAGTCCACATATTCCCGATTGTATTTAGCTGGTTTATGATGCTTCTAAACCATGTACTAGAGTGCTAGTATGACATTAATTTAATTAAGTCACGACCAGAGATCGTAGCAGGACAGTGCTGCCCTGTTGTCCGGCTGCCTTGCATAAATTTTTTCAGGACAATTGAAAATTCCTTGATTTGCCCTGCGAGAGATAGATTTTTGTGATTTTCAAGCTTGGTTTTAAGTAAAATTTTGAGATTGAACAACGAAGACAACAGAGGTCGCTCAATTCTGTTTTCATTGTTACAGTGATGAGGTTCTTGAAGGTTGAATCTTCTGGATTAAGGAGAAAAGCTTTGTTTTGTACTGCTGCGCGTTCTGCCCGGCCAGACAGGGCGGAGTAGGGCCAAAACAATTTTCTGAGAGGACAGGGCAGGGCGAAAAAAGTTGCCCTGCGATGGTCTCTGGTCACGACCACCGTTTGTAAGTCAAACTCAATTTTCTTGGTCAAGACTTTTTTTCCAGATGTTTGACCTTATATTTGTAATCAGCATTAAATTCTGTATCAGATAATGTGTTTCAAAAACTTCTAGCAAAAAAAAATGTTTCGATGTTCCAAGGGGATCATAGGGGCAAAACATTTTCGAAAAAATCGAAAGTCAATTCTTGAGCGACTCAAATATGTCATTTTATTCAGAAGTTCATGCTGATTCCGAATATATAATTCTTTTTTCGGAAATACTGGAGGATGTAAAATGACCTTATCCGCCTCCTTCCTTTTCACTCAAAACTGAAAATGGACTAAAAATCTCGAAATACACATAGAAACACACTAAAATCGAGAACCGAGATATTAAAAGTTTTATGAACTTGAAGAGTTTTTTGTAGTTTTATATTCTTCAAATATTTTCGATTTTTCGATACGGAAAAAGTTTTTTGAAAAATTAAAAAATACATTTTCTTAAGCAGCTCGATAAACTCTATCCAGCGATGCATAATGAGTTGCAAAAAACATTTAGCTGCAAGTCTGCATTAGGCACACCTTACTGTGCTTGACACTTCGGTGAAAGTTTGATGGAAAAGGAGAGCAGAAGAAAATGCTCATCTAATCTAAAGACGCTCCGCCGTCTATGGTCCTTATCTTATTTTGGAAGAAAATAGTAGAGAAAAGCTGACAACGACACTTTCTGAGGCTAGGAAAGGAGAACACTAAGAAAACACGAGGTCAGATCTGGCTAGAAATTTTATCACTATGATGATGAAAGAAAGCAAGGTAGTAGGATTTTAAACCGTCCCTGCCATTAAAACACTATAGGATATGAGATGTAGTCTCTTCTCGAAATCGTACACTGGATTCCTTAAATCCTACAATATTGCTATCCTGTAGTGTTGTCATGGTACGAACAGGTTAAAATCATATTTGCCTTGCTTTTCTGTACTCTAAAGTAGAGTGGCTAAGATTTTAAAAATTTCTGTTCTTCTGAATCATCATTTTGTGAGTGCTTGTAATCGTACTGTCCTGATTTTCGGTAATTCCTCCTCAGTGAATATTTGTGCACTTCTTTAATCATTATTTTTTCTATCATTACAATTACATGAAAATCACAATTACTTTATTTTCGAGCTTTGGTAAAGATTGTTTTGAAATGAAAACTTTCCAAATAGGAGTGCAATGTGTGGCATCAGCTGAATACTATTTCTGTTTTCTAATAGTGAATATCAGAACTAAGTATAGTTAAAATAACGTAAATTTCTGCACTCTATTGTTTAGCGCATCAGCTACAAAGAGATTCATATTTGAATCAAAAGCCAAACCGTTTGGACTATGAAGTCGTTGACCAGTAGAACCAGCACTACCAGTTACACCAGCAATTGTTATACCAGTACCGTATGAATTACTTTTCTATAGAAGACACCAATAATAATTTTAAATATCGAGCAAAACAGAGAGAGGAAGAATGACTTACATGAAACATTTGTATTCGATGATTGGATGTATCGCTTACGTATAAATTTCCAAATGAATCAGCTATTATTTGTGAAGGATTATAGAACTGACTAGCATTTGAACCAGAAATACCTGGTGTGCCTACGAGAAATGTCCCATTTTGGTCACCTAAATGCCACTTTTGTATTGTATTACCACCATTATTAATAATAAACATTGTATTTGACGATTCATTCAAATATAAACCCCATGGATTAAAAGTTTGGATTTCTGAATTTCCGCCACCATTCCCACCAGCAACAACAATACCGAATGAGCTGTTTAATCCAATCCGTTTGATAACGCGATTATTATTCCAGTCTGATATATACAGATTTGTGCCAGTTGAATCAATCAAAATATTTATCGGGTAACCAAGTAGATTTAGAGTCGAACCATACACGCAACTTTGTGCTAGAAACGAAGAAGAGAATTGTTAGAACAACAAAACTCGTCAGAAAAATTTACCAGTAACAGTATTCAGAAACAATATGAAATTTTGTTCTAAACATAGTTTATTTGGTTCAACAAAGCGGGCAGGCGAAATATGAAGTTTTCACAGCTGGAAAATCAACGCTCAAGATACAATCAGACATGCACTGATATGGATGTCTGCCGATAGCGGATCGCTATCGAGTATCTGATAGGCGTCGGGGTATCAAGTTTCAGTGCTTTTGTAAACAAATTTTTCGTTTTCTCTTCGATTTCATAAAACATAACAGTATTTTAACATCTACATCAAAAGAATGATTTGCAACAAACTATATCGATTTTGGATTTAAATACTCTTCAGCATTACTTAGAAGTGAGTAAGGATAGAGGTAATACACTTTTTTGTGTATTGGAAATGAGGTAACCCGAAGATCTAACCTTTCTGATGAAAATTATTCACACTATTTCTCTCAAGGATAAAACAAACCTCTGTCCGTCATTATGCTCCGTCAATAAAGTTTTATGCTCTTAGCATCGGTGAACCATGTAGTGGTACACATTTCTGCGTGCTCCTAAGCAGTGTATTTTCGCCGTAAATTTAAATCTCTTCTGCTGTTTTGTATTTTTATGTGAAAATATTAAAAAGAGTCGTTTCTATATTTTACAGTACTTTAATCGAATTTTAGCAATACTAATTCGAAGAGAACGAAGCAAAATCGAACGAAATAGTTTGTGATATCGCCAAAAAAATCTAAGACAGATGCTAGTAACAATACATGTCTAGCAAAAATGATATGAAGAAAAATAATCAGAAACACATTTCAATCTTAATCAATAGAATTTCAATGACCAAAGAAAGTAGATAATGAATAATAAAATGCTTACATCCGACAATAGTAACACCACTTGTTGCTCCTTGTGGCCAATAGAGAATTCTATGGTTTCTCAAGTCAGCAATGTAAAGATTTTGTTGTTTATCAACAGAAACAGCAGTTGGCTCATACAATAGACTTAATGTACACCCTGAAACTTGACTAGTACCAGCAACAGTGTTTATGAGTGTTGTACCATTTGTTAAAAATTGATATTGCTGAATACGATGGTTGAATCTATCGGCAATATATAGTAAATCTGTTAATGGATCAATAAATATACCATGTGGTTGAGCTAACAAAGTCATTGCCCCACCCGAGATACTTGTTGTGCCAGCAATTGTCACTCCAGTGGTATTCCATTGTGGATGACCTTCGAAGGAGACACGATGTAAATGCTGATGAGGAAGGGAACGACAGGTTGCTTCGGCGGGAGTTTGGGAACGTTACCGTCCGAGATTTACAGAGATAATATATGTTATCGAACTGATTCTAAAAAGAACCTTAAGAAGCATCTAAAACATCTGCAAGATACGTTGTTGTGCATATTCAGCAAAATTACACCATTTTCTCTATTGAGAATAAAAAGTCTTGAGCCTTGTTGCACAATAACAAATTCGTTTTAAAAATCTGTTTCTTGTATTTCCTTAGACAAATAAATTCAAGAAGACGGAACAAAACTCTGACAGCAGTATGCTTTAGAATGTGCATTGTATGCTCCAGTCAATGCTGTATATCACGATCCTACAACTTCTCTCCAAGCAGAGCAGTACAGCATACTACAAGCCAGTTTTTAACTCCTTTCAACTTTCCAAGTGTCCTCTACAAACACTGAACACCAAATGGTCATCTCCTGCTATTGATTGTTTTAGTTATAGCTATTTCAACCTCTGAAAGTTCGATTTATTCCATTGACTGTAAGTCTATGGTCATACAAAAAAAAGTTGGTCATTCGAAAAAGTAGAAAGTGTTTGTGTGTGTGTTTGTTTGTTTGTCCGTACAGAGGTGTGACGGACGTAAGCACACACGCTGACGGACGTACATACATATAGTCATGTGGCAGTGTGACGTACATACATATAGTGACCAGTGAGTGTGACGGATGTACATACATTTGGTCATGTGGCAGTGTGACGGACGTACATACATATAGTCACTGACGAGTGTGGCGGACATAGGTGCACATAGGTCGATGCGTTCGAGTTTTCTGTGGTAGCAGAGAAGTATAACACTTATCCTGGCTGCGAACGCGGACCTAAGGGACGCGTGAGCATTGTGTGGAATTCAGAATGGCTATAGACTTACAGTCACTTGAATAAATAAATAATGTGAATAAAGTGAATCGCATCGATTCACTAATTCCATTGCCTGTAGGTCGAGTGAATGAACTGTCGGGATTATTAGTCATTGTTTTGTAAGTCGTTCTTGTTCCATTGACTGTAAGTCTATGGTCATACGAAAAAGTGAAAGTGTTTGTGTGTGTGTGTCCGTACACGGGTGTGACGGACGTAAGCACACACGGTGACGGGCGTACGTACACATAGTCGGGTGGGAGTGTGACGGACGTACATACATATAGTGACCAGTGAGTGTGACGGACGTACATACATAGAGTCACTAATGAGTGTGACGGACGTACATACATATAGTCACTGACGAGTGTGGTGGACATAGATGCACATAGGTCGATGCGTTCGAGTTTTCTGTGGTAGCAGAGAAGTATAACACTTATCCTGGCTTCGTAAATTTATTCCGGCGGTCGACGATTCCAGGATCCTGTCCCTGCGCCGGAATGGGAAAACTACATCTCTGCTCAATTCTGTAGTAACAAGATCCAGTTACAATAAAATGAAGAATATTCTCGACACGATATTCATTCCACTTACAGTCAGTGGACCGAGTGAATCGATGTGATTCACGTTATTTATTTTATATTTTAAATTATTTTGTTTTGAGTTATAAAAATCCAGTGGTAATAAGATTTGGTCAGTCCTACAATATTTCGACAACGAAATAATTCAAACGGCGTGGCCAGCTAACGATCATCCTTCCGATCAGATGATTCGAATTTTAGTTTTCATTCAAACGAACGTTAAAAATGAATGGTCAGACGCCGTTTTTCGCGCTGAAGTTGAATTTGCATGTTGAAAATTTAAAGTTTAAATTTCATCTCCTGACCCTGATATTTTTTCGAAAATTCTGTAAACTATACTGTCGGATAGAGAATCGAATTCCCTACAAAGTATTTCATCTATTTCCATGTTTAGGGCTTGTCAA